GATGCAGCCCTCAGGCCAAAAAGTTTGCCCACCCCTGAGCTAGGTGGCTAGTGGGATTTTCAAAAGGTTAGGCACCTTTCTGCGTTTTCAGGCTCCTAAATACCTTTGAAAATCTGGCCCCAACTTCCATTGACTTAGACCCCTTTGAAAATACAAGTTGTAAGGGTTGGCAGGTAACATTTTCAAAGGCACCTAAAGACTTAGATGATCCTGATTAGGACTTGTGCTGCTGGCATTACTGATGAATGCCTGACCCTGCTGAATTCAATGGAGCTAGGATTTCACCCCATCCTCTAACCTTGAAGGCTTGGCTAAGTCCCACTGCCAGTCGATGGGAGTCCTGCTCCTACCTCATGTAGGTGCTTTTGAAAATCCCAGAGTCTAACACACAACGCCCAGCTCAGGGTCCGCCCACCAGTGATGGAGGGATCGTTTTGCCCACATGCAATCCCTGGATGGCCCCGCAGCAGCAGCTACATAGCTATTGATAACACGGCGCCTTGGCCAGTCCCATGAGTGGAGGCAGCAGAACAGGAGTTGGGACTGAGGTGACCATGCAGATGTTTGTTAGGCTTTACACACCAATCTCCACCAGCCTTGAAGGGGTCATCGGGGAAGCACTCAGCACTTGGCAGGATCTGGCCCTTCGCATGCCTGGCTTTACTTTACCATTCTGCGCCCTGCAGCCCATCCAACAGGGGCATGAACTGTGCTATTTAGGTTCCTGTCCCTTTGGAGCGTTACTCTTCCTGATGGAATAAGAGCCCTTTGCAGTACTCGTTCCCTGATGGCTTTGTTGGTGACGAATGGCGAGTAACAAATGTTAGCACATGTCTTTGCTAGAGCATGGCAGGGAAGCTGGGGTTTACTACCCGGCTTATGGATGTTCTAACCAACCGTCTCGCTCTGCTTCACAGCCTCCTTCTGTCAAGAGGAACAAAATCAACCCGTCCTTCATCTCGACCATCTACGCGGAGGTAAGGGGTGTGCTGCTCTGATCCTGCCATGTTAAACACTGGCTCTACCAGCAACTGAATGTCCCCTCCCCCACGCCCCACCAGAGCTAAGAGTGGCCACTAATCTCAGGGCAAAATGCTAGTTTTGTCCCCGTGACCCACTCCCCATGGTGGGGAGAGGGAGGGAGCATTTACCCCTCTGGCTTTGGCTTTGAAAGCATTGCTGAACAGCCTGCTAATTATAAAGCGAATGACGCAAGAACAGAATCATCAGTCTTGCGTCACCCACTTGCCACTGATACCAATTAACATCTTTGTTAAAATTCAGGGCAGGGTCCCCACCTGCTGTACATCGGCTCCAGTTTCCTTTTCACGGACATGCTGGGCTCATCTCCCATCCAACCACTGACCTTGTCACTCCCCATCACTGCTTGACTTTTGACGTGGCTAATTTCCTTAAGAAAATTCTTATCTAGCCTCATGGACCTGTCTCCTTTCCCCTCCCCACCCCAGGATTGTAAAATTGGTAGATTTGGTGCCTCTGGGGTTTTTGTGTTTGAGATTTCCTGTTGAAGCACATTCAAGGTGGTTGGTTTTTCTTGTAGGTTCAAGACGCCCCTTCCAGACCCAGGCAGCCTCAAAAGCAGCGCTCATCTTCACCTAATCCTGGGCATTTGTATTCCTAGCTTCCGCAGCCCCTCGCTGCAGGACACAACCTTCCTTTCTTTAAAGGCCTTTTCCCCGTGGAGCGAGCTCCTTGCTGATGGACAGACCTCCACCTGTGCAGCTAAGCACAGCTTTGATCTGACCAGCTTGGATGTACAAGACTTGGGGTTCTTTCTCCTTGCACTCAGAGCAGAAATATCACAATAACAGCATCTTCATTCGTATCGTGCAGTCCTAGGCCAAACCATGAAGGCTCATTGAAAACAAATACAGAGGGAGCAGAGAACAGATACCACAACCTTTTCTTTCTTTGGGAAAGGTTGTTTGAGAAGATTTGATGTGCAAAGATGGTTGGTTTGGGGGTATTTTTTGTTAATTTCAACTGGTTCAACACTCCTTTGCAGTTTGCACGCAGGGATGTGTATAGATTTAATTGCATTAACAGGCATTGTGGGTTAATTAGCTTATTTATAGCTTTAAAAATATAGCTAAGCAGGACAGATGTAGGGTGTAACCTACCCTAATGCTAGTGTAAGTCAGGAGTAACTCCACTGAAGTCAGCTAGGGCAGATACTCTGTTGGTGTAAATCAACAGAGCTCCAAGTTACAGCTGTGTCAAACCAGGGTAAGTGAGAAGAGATTCAGCCCCTACTCTTCAGGGAGGTGTCTAGGCCAGGGGGCAGGGAATGGCACTGGAATTTGAGGTTAAAAGTTTTGGTGACTGAGTTGCGTAAGAGCTGAGACACAGGTCTCGCATCACCCAGGTGAGGAAGAAGATGACTATTACCAATTGTTTTATTTTGCACAAGACTAATACAAGTGGATACCATCAGGTGCAATTTAGGCAGAAATTGTTTTGTTTTTTAAAAAAAGGTATTTTACAAAACCAAAGATCAATAGAAATGTATCAAGATTTAAAAAAAAAACTATTTGAAATGTATTTAAAAAAAAATATCTCGATCTTACACTGCACTAGTTTGAGCCCAGTGTCCTGTTAGAGTGAGCAAGAGTCAAACTGACTAGAAACAAAGGTGAAACTGACCAGCCAGGTTTGTCCTGGCTGAGAGAAATGCAAACCAGCAGAATAGAGAGAATCAAGAGGAAGTTTTGAACCTTCCTGTGACTTGCATCAACTTGGTGGAAAAGGCAAGGAAACTTGTGTTTAAAAGTAGAGCAAGAGTGAGGAAGGATAGCCCAATGGGTAGGGCACTGCCATAGCTTCTAGTGTGACCTTTGTGTAAGTCCTTTAGTCTCTCTCTCTCCTCCCATTTCCCACATCTACAATGGGGATAACAGCACTACCTTGCCTGCTGGGTAGGGTGATCAGATGTCCCAATTTTATACGAACAGTCCTGATTTTTGGGTCTTTTTCTTATATAGGCTCCTATTACCCCCACCCCACCCCCACCCCCTGTCCTGATTTTTCACATTTGCTGTCTGGTCACCCTAGTTAAACTCCATAATCTTCCTGGTTTTTTTCTAATGCAAATAAGCATATCCGTTTCCATAAAACACACATTTAGAAAAACAGAACAACGCCTGCCATTGGTGAAATGAGACAAATTATGGGCAATAAAATCTCAGTACCGTGAGAAAAAGGGGAAAATGAAAGTCTATTTATGCAGATATCATCTCTCTATTTATCCATCATTAACTCAGCCAGAGGTGAGGGCTCTGTTGTGGGAGAGGGTTGGTGGGGTTCTGTGGCCTGCGATGGGCAGGAGGTCCTACTAGATTAGTGGTTTTCAAACTGTGGGTCGCAACCCAGTACTGTGTTGCAGAATGTAAGGCACTGGGTTGTGGTGGCTCTGGTGAGCACCGGTGATCGGGCTGTTGAAAGTCCTGTCGGCAGTCCTGTCCAGCAAAGGCAGGGTAGTCCCTACCTGTTCCAACACTGCGCTGCATCCCAGAAGCGGCCAGCAGCAGGTCTGGCTCCTAGGCGGGGCCGGAGCACAGGGCTCCACGGACTGCCCCCACCCTGAGCACCAGCTCCATGCTCCCATTGGCTGGGAACCAACCAAGGGGAGCTGGGGGGGGCGGTGCCTGCAGGCGAGAGCCACGCAGAGCCACTTGTATGCCTCTGTCGAGGAGCTGGACCTGCTGCTGGCCACTTCTGCGATGCCAGGACAGGCATGAAGCCTGCCTTAGCACCCCACGCTGTGCCGCTGACCAGGAGCTGCCCAAGGTAAACCCGTGCCCCAATCCCCTGCCCCAGCCCTGAGCTCCCCCCCAAACCCAGAGCCTCTTCCTGCACCCCAAACCCCTCATCCCCAGCCCAGAGCCCTGACCCCCTCCCGTACCCTACTCCCCAGCCCAGAGACACCTCCTGCACCCTGAACCCCTCATTCCCAGCTGCATTGGATAGCAGGCATCAACAATTTTCTTCAGCTGGGTCGCAAGAAAAAAAGTTTGAAAACCACTGCACTAGATGATCATGACGGTCTCTTCTAACCTAAAGTCTATCAGTCTGTGGGCAGGGGCTTGACTATCCATCGCTCTGTCTCTGTATCTATAGTTACTCTATGATCCTCCCTATTCATCCATCCATCCTAAGCTTATGCCCAGGTCATCTGAGCCACTGCCCTTGGTGTGGGGCAGTATTCTGGGAGCAGAGCCCTGCCTGGTCTTGGCCAGGGCTGGCTCTGGCTTTTTTGCCTCCCCAGGCAAAAAAGCCTCCGGCCGCGCGCCCCCCCCAGCGCAGCAGGGGAGGGTGGCGAGTCCTGGTCGGAGCTCCGCTCTCCCCAGCGGCCAGAGCGCCGGAGCACCGCGCCGCCCCCCTCCAGGTGCCGCCCCAAGCACAAGCTTGGTGGGCTGGTGCTTGGAGCCGGCCCTGGTCTTGGCAGATGGGAAACTGGCTGGGGGTAGATCTGGGTTATGAATCTGACCCCGATTGCCTGTGTTATCTGCAATCACCCTTCCCCTGCGTCCTGGCCAAACACCCAGGGCTCACGGGGCCCCGCGCTGAGCTACCACCACCCGACAAGGACAATTAGGCCCATTACTTTGGGAAACACCCATGTGGCTTATGGGACGAGTCAGCTCCCCTCCCTTCTCCACTGACCCCTCGGCCAAGTGATCCCCCGGGGACTCCATCGCTTTGGGGCTGGTCAGACTCTGCCTTCCCCGGGCCCATGGGAGCTCGCTGGGCTCCTGCCCGTGGAGCAACGGGGAGCTAGCGCTGGTGTCGATTCCATTCCCCCCAGTGGAGGGGACGTTAACCAAGCTGGCACAGAGCGGGTGCCAAGGCCGCAGAGAGAGAAATTCTCCCGGGGGGAAGGTTGCAGCAATGGAAGGTGCAGCAGGCTGTTACCCACTCCAGCGTGGGGATCATGGGAGGCCAGTAGCCCCCAGTACAGGGCATCATGCCAGGGAGAGCCATAGCCGGGCAGGCAGAGGAAGCCTGGATGCAGCCTCTCGTGGCGGGGGTCTCGGTGGGGCCGCTGGTGGGGCTTACAGCGGCCTCCACTGGGGGGAGTCGCTGGGGGCAGAGGATGATGGAAGTTCTGCCTGCCCTCCTGCTCGGGGAGTATCCGGCTCTGATAAGCACAGTCTGCCCGGCTGGGGTGACTCGAGCGCTGCAGGTTCATCCTGCTATTGCTTGGACACGGCGGGTGACTTGCCAGCTGGCACTCGGGCAGCTTGGTCACCTGCAGGGCCTGCCTTCCCGTAGGCAGGGAAAAGCAGCTACAGAACGGGGACTGACTGGCTGGGCGGCAGAACTGCTGCGCTGGGGTTAGGGTGGGTCACAAAGTGAATATGGGTCAGCCGTGTGATGCGGTTGTGAAAAGGGCTGATATCCCTCGGGGGTGTCTGAACAGGAGCAGTGTAGGTCAGACCCGGGAGGTCACTGTCCCGCCACACTGTAGGAAAGACGCGGATCAATTGGAGAGAGTTCAGAGGACAGCAACAAAAATGACACAAGGTTCAGGAAGCCGGACTGTGAGGAAAGATTAAAAGCCCTGGGCATGTCTAGTCTAGAGAAAGGAAGACTGAGGCTTTGGGGGGGTGGGACCTGATAAGTCTTCAAATATGTGAAGGGCTGGAATACACAGGATGGGAATCAGTCGCAGGCACGTGGAGGTGACCTCTTTGCGTTGGGCTGATCGTCGTCACCGCAGCCTGTGTCGGGATGTGGCTATGGAAGAAAAGGAGGAAAAAGCCAGTCGGCCGAGGTAGGTAACTTCCTTCTTACAGAAACACTAATGACCCCACTCAGCTGATGGGTCACAAATAAATAATTACTGATTATTAACTAATTCATGAGTAATTCTGCCAGCCACTTACAACACAAAATTATAGGGTGACCAGAGACCCAGTGTGAAAAATCGGGAAGAGGGTGGGGGGTAATAGAAGCCTATATAAGAAAAAGCCTCAAATATCAGGACTATCCCAATAAAATCAGGACATCTGATCACCCTACAAAATTAGGAAAGACATTTCCCCTCCCCTTTTTCTGTATTTTATGGTTACACTGTTTGTTCTCTTTTCTTTAATGTTATACAGTAAAGGTTCAATCTGGCACATGGAACATACATGTCAAGTGTGGGTTGCCTCCTTCTCTATTGGATGGTTGATAAAAGCCTTCTACTGTTACCAGCTACTGGAGTGACTCCTTTAGCTCAAGTGGGAGACTATTGTGTTTTGGAGGTGAAAGCCATAAGTTCAAAACCGCTGGACAATCCATGATAGGGGGGTCAACCTACGAATGTTTATTGCTCGGTGTAATGCTGACCGTTAAGAGGAGTTGTACCATAGCCAATGGGGCTATTCAAGGGTTACAGCTAGTAGTAACTGGTCACTCAGAAGCGTGAAGACAGATAGCCCTTCCTGTTCCTAAAGACCGGTAGTGGCTTTGGTGGGCTGCTCTTAATGATCTGAATCCTGGGTCAGGATATTTCACTCCAGTTGCACCCTGCGAAGCATCAATTGGGGTCACTAACAGGAAGCTGGGTGACTCACAAAACTGGGTGACTGGGCAACAGAATGGCAGATGAAATTTAATGTTGATAAATGCAAAGTAATGTACATTGGAAAACATCATCCCAACTCTACATATAAAATGATGAGGTCTAAATTAGCTCTTACCACTCAAGGAAGAGATCTTGGAGTCATTGTGGATAGTTCTCTGAAATCATCCACTCAATGGGAAGCAGCAGTCCAAAAAGCAAACAGAATGCTGGGAATCATTAAGAAAGGGATAGATAATAAGACAGAAAATATTATGTTGCCTCTCTATAAATCTATGGTACGCCCACACCTTGAATACTGCGTGCAGGTGTGGTCGCCCCATCTCAAAAAAGAGATATTGGAATTGGAAAAGGTTCAGAAAAGGGCAACAAAAATGATTAGGGATATGTAACGGCTTCCATATGAAGAGAGATTAATAAGACTGGGACTTTTCAGCTT